ATATAAATTATTAAATTAAAATAAAAATAAAACAAGTAATTATAATAAAAAAATTAAAAATAAAATAACTGTTCCGGTACCTCACAATTATAGTGGATATCGTAGAATTTCTCTTAAAAAAATTCGAGTGGATATCGTATAATTTCTCTTAAAAAAATTCGAGAGTTTGCTTGATTACAGAAAATGTTTTTTGTTTCTATTTTTAAAAAATATTTTTATTTTTAAATTTGAATTTAGAAAAGTTTGATTTTGTATCCAAAGAAATCTTCATGAAAACTTATAGGATTAGGTAACTATCTTGAAAAAGACTCAAAATTAGTAATATGATTGGTACATGAAATGATTTTTTTTAATAGATTTTTTATAGAAATTTTGAATGTTTTTAGATTTTTTAATAAAAATTTTAAATAAAAAATCTTGATTTTTTTTATTTTAAGAAATATAATTTTTGAGAATTACTTTTATCGTTTTTTTATAAAAATATTTGAAAAAAATAAAAATCTCTTTTTTTTTTTACTTAGAAAATTTTTTTATATATATAAAAAGATCACAATATCTCTTTTTAAAATAGAAAATAGTCATTGAACACGTTAATACTAGATTGATGATTTTGATCCTTTGACTAAAGACATATCACTAAAGATTTTTAAGGATCATATAACATGAATAATTTCATGATGAGTAAAAAAATGACATAAAAAAATATAATCATTTTATCTCTAATTATTTTTAAAATTAAAAATTTTCATTGAGTAAAAAAATAAAAAAATGACACATAAAAATTATAAATATAATTACAAAGTAAAATTTAAAATAAAAGAATTTTGATATGTGATATAACTTAAGATATCTTAAGTTGGTGGTGACTAACTTATAACTTACGATGTTTTCTTTTGGTAAAAAAAAACACTTATAGATATTTTAAATTTTAAAGAACAATCATAAAATATAAAGTTTACAAAAATTTAGCAACATTATTAAAATGTTACTAAATATCATTTTTGATAGAATTTGTAAAAATAGTCATTAATATGTAAAATGGTGAAAGTCTTTAGTAGCATAATTTTTATTTTATATTTAATAAAATATTGTAAAAATATATTAACATTTACTCGTAATTTAACAATATTTTTTTAATGTTGCACAAAACATATTTTATTATTTTGAAATTTATGAAATTGAAAGGTTATGATTTCTAAAAAAAGAAAAAGAAAAATATCAAATGATTGAAACTACATATTAGTCAGTTATAGAAAAAAGAAGACTCCTCTTCTCTGCTCTCATTTCCGTTGTATGCGTGTATGATTGCGAAAAGCGCAGTTCGGAGTAAGTGATGTTCTTTCTGTTGTGTCCCACATCGAATGATATTGTAGAAGAGAAATAAATTGGGTCTTATAAGAAAAGAAAATATGATCTGTTTTACTCATGATCCTTCAGGCAGTTAACGGGATGTGATGAGTGGTCAAAACTCGCAAGTGTATGCGAGAGGGGTGTCCGCTCCCGCCTGGTTACGACAATGGGGCACTCTCCCTTTAACCAATCTGATCCCTAACCTGAAGATCAAAAGTAATTATCAGTTGAATGTTTAAAATATAAATTAAATCATATATATCTATAATAACTTGGTTATTTTTTTAATTAGGATTCATCAGGTTGTGTTAATGTAGTCTTCTACTAGAAAGTTATTACATTTAAAAGGAAAGTTATATAACATACAAGAAATTTTTAACTTAAGGTGGATTTACAGTTAACAATTAAATACATGCACAATTAAATATGTTTCAATTCAAGGAATATTTAATATTTTTAATTTTCTAATAGATAAAATGATTACAATATGTTAATCTATTATTTTTCTTTTTCATTTATGATTAGGACTAGGAGTATATATATAATATTAATAAGATATTTTTAATTTTTCATATTTAATGATCAACTCAAACTAATCTTGTTATTGATTGTGCTGGTCGAATTTGATAAAAATATATATAAATTTAACTCAATTTAATCTATTTTTTTATTATATATTTATAGTTGTTCAATTTTAAAAATAATATACAACTTTAATAATGATTATAATTTGATGATATAGTTTAAAAAGCATGCTATAAATAATTAAAATAATATATAATTATAATTTACTTGTTGAAATATACATTATATTTTGAGTTAAATATATTTAAATTTTTAAATTGAAGATAAGTGTATTTTTAGTCTCTCAAATTTAAAATTAATTTTTTAATTTTTGTAATCTTAAAATTTTTTATTTTAACTTTTAAGCTCGAATTTTATAATGGAATTTGTTAAGTATTATTACATAAAATTTATATTTTTGTTAATAAAAATATTACATTAAACTTAGTTGATGATGTATAACTACTTCAATCAGTGACTCTTAAATATATTATTGATGACTCAATTGATTAAAATGAGATTTTTAAAGATTATAAGACTAAAAATAATAATTTTAAATTTAAAAAATAAAAAAAAATTATCTTAAATTTGAGAAATTAAAAATATATTTAAATTTTATATTTTATATAAAATTATTGAATGATTAAATAAGATGATTTCTAATAATAATTTAATAATATTTAATTATAATAATTATTAAGCTTTAGTTTATTATACTTCTAAAATACTATAATTTAAATTATCAAATTCATTTAAAAATAATAATTGATTTATAAAAAAATTAATTTATTTGAACAAGTTTTAAGTGTGTATTTAGAGAAATAATAAATTAAGTATAATATTGTAATTACTTTTAAACATGTACTAAAACTATGATAAGTGATTGACAAAAAAATTGTGCACTTTGCCGAAGTTAAAAGGACTTTATATGTATATATTCTAAAAAAAATGGAATTAAATTCATGAAAAATTATTTTCTGTAAATAATAGTTTGCCTGAAAAAGTTTACAAAGGACATGTGAAATAGTTCAAATAAATAGTAGTTATCAAGTGGGTGATCTAGGTGTTCTATCTTTACTATCATATACAAAACTTATTGAAAAGTAAACAAGTAAAAGAAATTATTTTGAGTATTGAGATGTAAAATTGACGAGAAGATATTAGTATCTTATATTATAGCCCATCCATTATATCTAAAACACTAGATCTTTGGTACTCCAAACCTTCTGTTGTAATAGGTGAACCCCCAACACTCTTGCTATAATGGCAAACTTTGGCACTTCTTTTCTTTGTCATCACAAGATTCTCACTTTTGCTAACTCCTGGATTCCTTCTTTTCATGGTTACCTCCTCTAACAATCTTTTATCCTCTTGAGAAAGTTGAGTTCCCAAAGGCTTACTAATACTGTCTAAGGATATAATTTGTAGCATCTTTGATTCAAAATCAGGTGGCTTAGGAGAAGTTTTTGAGGGCATTGGCTTGATGGAATTGTGTCTGTATCTTACAAAAGTAACCAAATAGTGAAGTTTGGCCAATAATTCAATAATGTAAAAATCTATCTTTTGCTTCTCAGCATAGTATAGTGTCTGCAGACGAATCAAGTTATTTTCTTTGGCTGTCTTTTCACCAAATTGATTACTGCAAACCACAATCATATAAAATTACTAAATATAGTTATGCTAACTTAAGTTATCCTCTATAAAAATAATAATGATAATCAAACAATTTTTCATTCAAATATACCAAACAAAAACTAACCTTGCATTTGCCCATTCACCAACCCATCCAAAACCTTGATGTGCTCTGTCAGATACACGAGTGTAAAAGAGTATAAAAAAAACAAGCATAACATACCTAAGCAATTTCAGGGATATCTGTCTTTGACCTTTTTTATTTTACATAGATAAAATATGTTTTTTTCTTTAGAGGTTTAGCTTTTGTCTTCTGATTTTTTTGTTGACTTTTAACTTTATTTTATTTTTTTAAAATCTATTACCACTTAAAATTTGATATCAACATCCAAGATTTTATATCATCACAAAATATTGCTGAAAGTAATCATTATATATATATATATATATATATATATATATATCATATTATGATTAAAAAATAACTCTTAAAAAAAGTAAATTTTAACTTGATTTATCACTACAAAATTGATTTGTATGAAGAAAATTGTTCTTATATATATTATTATAATTATATTAATAGTCAAATTAAATTCTCCAGCAAATTTACTGAAAATGGTTAGCATTGACACATGGATAAATAATATAATTTTTTTAATGGTCTAAAATAGAAAAAACTTAATAAATATATGAATTCAAACTCTTTTTAAGCAAATAGTTTTGATGTCATCTTAAAAAAATAGTAGGTAACTATCTCATTAGTCAATGTCAGATTTAACAAGAATTATTTTTAAAATGTTAAAATTAAAATTAATGGAATAATTTTTAGAAAAATAAAATAAAATTTACCATACTTACTAAGGCCAACATAAACAAATGGAATTTTCAGATAACAAAATGAATGTTATCTTACTTGGTCGTATTTGTGGCTAATGGAGTAAGCCATTGCAGAATCTTATCCATTTCATCTTTGACCTGAGTGATGGAGAGCTACAGAAAAGTTCCATTCAGCATAATCAATCAGAAAATAAAACTTCAATGATCAACAAGAAGAAGCATGTGAGACCATGCTAGGAAGGAACATACCTCTTTCATGGCATCAACATTTTGCAACCGGGAAGGAAGTGCATTTTTAACATTATTATTAGGCAACCCATGATACAATGTGTCCCTTATATTTGGAGGAAGAATGGTTGGGCGACATGCCTGATATAAAGTTAGAAACAAACATTTTATTTAGAATACAGCAACTTCAACTTGTTAAGGTTATCCTAATAATACTAGCATAGTACAAACTTACAATCATGTTTATCTGATTGACAATGTTAGCATAGTGCAATGCCAGACCAGCTTCACCAAGCCTTTCAGAAATGATACCATGCTTGACAGTGGTTGCATCTGCCATAAATTCACAACTATTATAAAATTTTGAGACAATTAATTAGGAGGAAAATTTTTAAAGATAAGTTTCCATGTTTGTTAATGATATGCCAATAAAATCTAAGATACAAATCAAACTCACATTCATCATCAGATCACAAACAATAAAAGTAATGCAAGTTTCACATGTTGTCGATTTCCAAAATCCTTTTAACCCGCATGCAAATCCAAACAACAAAAAATGAATAGAAGAGAAAATTATTAAAGGTGGCATGTGATTAGTAGTTAAGACTTATACTCTAAGCTTATTTAATATTAATTAATTCCTTGTGCATAAGGACATTCATGTCTTAAATTTATCAGACACATAACAGTTGATTTCAAATTAATAGGAGATATGATTTCATACCATGATTTCCAAGGTACTCCAAAATTGTTTGATCTATATGGGTAACGATATCAATAAGCTTTTCTACTATCTGCAATAAATAAATTCACAGAACAAGTCCACTGTTGTAAAATACTTGTCCACAGTCCAAAACTTCTCTAATGCTGGAAAAGAGAAATTATGAATGAATTTAACTGGAAATTTAAATGAGAAACTATTCCATCTAAAAGTATAAATGTTTAATTACCCTTTTATCCTATAATCTCGTAAATTTTACCTTAATTTCTTATTATTAAAAATATTGTACTTTAGTCCTTCTATTTTTGTACATACTGTTTTTGTTTCTTTTAAATTTTTATAATTTTTTTTTAACTTTTGTACCAATGTCCTAAGATCTCATCTTAAAATAATCTAATTCAATAGGAAGATAAATAAAGTCTGATTAAAAATTATTTTCATCGAGAATTAAACTTGAACACTGTCTAAATGATTTAACCTTAAATTTAACATATTAAATAATTATATTCAACTTCTTGATTAGTTTTTATAATTTCATAAACTTTATCTTTTATAGACATTAGGAGATCAAAAGAGAATAACAATTAAACCATTTATAAAATAATTATAGGAGACGAAAAAATAAAGTTTATAAAATTTTAGGAACCAAATAAATAATTAAACCATTTATAAAATAGTTATCAGAATCATAATCTCATACCTCTTCCAAATTTCTGGACCAAAGAGATTTCTTTTTCAAGCTCCTTACAAGCCTCCTTTGATGTTTTATCTCACTGTGAAAAGCTACGAGACTGTCCCCTACAATTATAAAGAAACTGACCAGTCAAAAATAAGTTAAATGCTGCAGATTATACTTTGCAGATATTGTGTATGGCTGACAAAGTCACAATAAATGATAACTCTCAGGCAGACCAAAAATTAAGAATATATTTTAGTCAAATAAAAGATTCTGTTGCTATTGAGACAAGAGAAATGGAAACTATGAATATATATTTATGTATACTGATTATGATGAAGGGAAAATAACAGAATTACTAGCTAACTCAAGCTAACAGTACTAGAAGGAATCTAATTAACTTGTTTGTGAGTTAAAATCAGTTTTTAAATGAGTTAAATGAGAGAACTATCATAAATTAACATATGCATAAACTAAAATCATGACAATACTTTTACTAGATTCTAACTCAAACATAAATAAGACAATAATCTTAGAACACGATAAAAACTAAAAACATCATTGGAAATGAAAGTTCCGTTAGGTGAAACTATATTATGAAGTTTCTAACCGTTGAGAGGAAGATTTAAGGATTCCATTTCCTTGAGCTTGTGCTGATAATCTTGTTCAAAACGTTCTAACGCTGTTAGCTCGTGATATAATTCCTACGCAGAAAAAAGAACAAGTTATTAAAAGAAGGAACTAATAAAAATTAAATAGTAAAGCTGAACTTTAAGCACATCAGAAGTAGGAAACACTACTAATACAAACATCGCATAGATTAAATACATAGCAAATATAAATCCATCTATCTGGTATGCTACAAATTGCATATTTGTAGTACTGAAAAATATAAGAATCGAAACCAGACAGACACATGCAAGATAAACAAAAGATTGAAATAATGGCTTTGCTCATTGCTCATTCATCTAGCAAAACTTCATTTAAAATTAAATTACAATTTTCTTACAGCAGTATTCTGAGCTAGAGTGGCCAACTCCTGCATTGTCTTTTCTGCCTCTACCCTTGGTTGCTTGTTGTCCAAGATATCCAAATGTAATCTGAAATATTTGTAATTATATGAGAATTTAATCACGAGAATGGTAAGGATAAAACTTAAATATAGTACTACAGGTACAATTAATGTTGTTTTCCAATTAGAATTGAAGTTTAAGATCCCAATAATCTTGTATTACATATTTTACTTAAGCCAAACTCCAATTCTGAGTAGAGAAAAGTATCAACAACACTTAAAACCAAGCAAATACACCTCAAGAAATATCGATCTAGGTTATGCCACTGAGGGTCCTTGCATATATTTCCAAATCTAGCTACTTCCCGGGAGAAAACATTGAATTCTTCCCTGCAAATTCCCCCAAAATTCAGAGATAAAGAACATCAGAGAAAGGAAAATATGTACACATCCAAGAGAATTCAAAACTCCATGATATAAACAAACAAAAGACCTTTTGTCAGCTTCAACAAGACCAATTAACTCCTTTGTATCAATTGAAACTAACAGTTGCACCCCATCTGATTGTAAAATCTCCTTTTTAAGGAACTGAATGTTTTCTTCAGACAGTGATTGAAACAAGAGTGCTCCTTTGTTTATTGTGTTAGCTACTTCAAATGCCAATATAGATATTTTGTTTCCTCTAGGAGCCATGCCAGAGCTAAACCCATTACTAGTGCTTAACTTGGGCATGCTACTTCCAAGTGAGTCCAGAACTTCTACTGCCCTCTCCCCAGCTCTTCCCAGAAAGGAGCCTTTGTGGGAGCCCTGTGAAAAGGAGAGACTTCATTACAACATCAAATTTCCAATGCAAAGGGTCCATAAAAGAATCAGAGATTCCATTCGATGAACTCAAATAACAGTAGAAATTAAGAGTCTGTTTGGATAAACTTCTTAAGAAACACCTCTAAGAGAGAAAAATAGGAATGAAAAATGAAATAAGTTTTTCTATAAGTTAAAAATAAGATTTTGGATAAATTAATAAAAAAGAATTTATACAAATTAACTTATATATAAGTCAATTTTAACTTGTGGATAAGCCTATTCATTTATTCTTCTTAGAATCTGATTGAATACATGTTTGAAAATGTTTTTGAGTTTCGCTATTGAAAATAATAAACTTTTTTCAATAGAAAAGATCTCACAAATACTTCTAAACTTGTATCCTAACATGCTATTATTATTTTTCTTCGTAAAAGTGTTTATGAAAATGTTTACACAAACATACCTTTAATGTGCTTATAATTTGATGATTCACCGAAGAAAAAAAGAATAAAAAGACAGCATCCATAAGGGATTCCCAAGCTCATATTAAGGAAACAGACAGTTCACTGCTTGAATCATGTAAGAATCAGGCAAACAAGTCTATTAACTGTTTCCGGGTTGTGACTATTCCATGGAAAAGTTTTCTATTAGTTTAGAATGATCGATATGTAAAATCAGAACCAATGCTTATGAAGGTCTGCAATCTCTCAATGATTAGTTTACAGTATGCAAACAGGTCCTCCATCTTCATAAATAATTTGTTGACATATCTCTTCAGTGAGTTCAGTCAAAACAATAGCGGATTGCATAAGTGTAATTAACCTTCAATTTTATCGATCTTCCAACTAATTTATAATTGATCATTTGTAATAGCAAACATGTTTCTGATTACCCCCATCATTATTTTCCTAACACAACATTGTTACAGAAAAAAAAATTCCGCTTACAAATTTAGCAAAAAAATAATTAGAATGCTCCGAAAAAGCATTTACATAGTCATTCAATAACAGTAACCATAAACAGTAAAGTGTGTGTTTGGATTGTTGTTTCAAAACCACTTAACTTCTCTTTGCACTTTTCAAAGCACAAAACGAAAAGCAGCAACAATAATAATTGATTGGAAAATAAAACGTGGGTTATGCTCAACAGAACTGTAATCCAAACACATCCAAATATGTTGACTTCATAAATAAGATCTTAAAAAAAATGTTTACTCTATATTTCAGGAGAATAATATGTAATTCGCTACCACTCAACCAAATCAATTCAGCTCTAGATTCAAAAATCAGTATAGGGAAAATACCAGTTTTGCTTCTTTTCCACCAGTGAGCTTGAATTCACCAGAAAATCCAGAGTCTAGTTTCTTTTGCTTTCTACCACCATCAACAGCCCTTGAATTTATACAAGAATCCCCTTTCCACTTTGCAATGATCTTTAACTTCTTAATCTTCCCCAAGGCTTTACCTCCAACCTCTGCGTTTCTGTTTTTCTCAGCCTTACTAGCTGAACAAACTGACCCCATTGAGCTGCAGAAAGTTTCAACGCCTGCTCCAATTAAGCTTCTACTTCAATTAACAAGTGAGAGGAATGACTTTACATCTTCAAGTTACATAACATGGAAAACAAAACAGCAAAAAAATTTAAAAAATATTGGCCTATTGACTATTGACTTTTGTTAATTAAATCGAAAACAATAACATTGACATGCATAGTTTATTATAAGAAGTGAGAATAAAAAAATAACAAACCAAACCAAACCAAACCAAAGCTTACGATTCAAGAATCCACCGAATATCACCACCATAAGTGTTCCAATGGGAGCATACCTATTTAGTACTATTTACAAAGAGTATCCAAATCCAAAACGGAAACTCTAGTAGAAGAATTGAAAACGAGGGTGAAATGGGAGAGATAATTAACGAATATGGCTTTGACTGAAATGGAATGAATCTCATAGGAACATGAAGGATATTCGATGTTGAATTTTCGGAACACATAAAATAACTAGTGATGTTACTTGTGGCACAAATAATACAATAATTTGTACAACTAAATTACAGAAAACAAATCTAATTTCACTTGAACTATCGGAGAATAGAAGTAAAGAAGAAATGACATAAGAGACGCGTAAATGGGACCGAAAGAAGAGGAAATTTCGAAATGGGACCAACGACTGCTTCAAACTTTGATGGTGTGTCAAATGTCAGTGTCGTGGACTACTACGTATGAAAGAGAAGGCAACGTGAAAATGCACAAAAGTGTAGTGCCTAACTTGTCCCAGTTTGTTTGTTTTAGGCAAAGGTTTTGTTTTACTATACTCACTCCTCGTAACTCCACAGTTATTGGTGCAGATGATAAATATATAAATTATGAACTTGTAATTTTTTTCCGTTTAGTATTAGTTATTATCCGTCGTTAAAATTAAATCTAATTAATTACGTTAATATCGAGGAGTTTATTTATTTTAGAACTAAATGAGCATTTGGTCAACCCAAATGCAACGTCACACCCGTTTTTTCTTTTTAGAGTCAACGTCACAATCGTTGAATTTAGCACGTTAATCACCTTTAGTTAACAACATTTCCTTTGTCCTTTCATGAACTTTCCATTAATTTACCTTGGTTGAGAGGAAGGAAAGTGAGCGACAAGAAAATAAATGAAAATTGAAGAGAAAATGAATTTGATTTTTTTTTGTGAGAGTTAATTTTTCTCTTGTTTTTTTTTTTTTTTTTTTATTAAACAGGAGAAAATAATAGTATTTCATTAACTCTTTTTCTTTTCTCTCATTTTTTTTTCCTTTCACCTATTTGGAACATATTGTTACAGTTAGAAGTTTGTTCATAAGGATGAACTTAGAATCGAGTGTTGATGCGTATAAAATTTTTTGGGTATTTTTGATTGGTGTTGAGCTACTTGTAGCACAGATTCGTATTTCTTTGAGAAATAAAATTCAAAAAGTTTATTGATGATATCAAGGAGTTTGCATCCATAAACATAAAATGGAATGCTTAATGTTTCTTAGATCGGTGAATTAATTGGGTTGGTGAAAGTTGAACGAGGAGGGGGTTACCAACATTTAGTTTTTAAACCTTCCATGCACTTAATAATTTCATTCGATTCACATTCGTTATGAAAATAATCATCTTTATTGGCCTATTGATAAGGTTAAGATAGTATGTATGAACTTAAGTTCAGATACGTTATTATCATTGTAATTATGATGAATTAGAAGTGGTAATTGAATGAATTCAAAAATAATTTGAAACTTAATTTAATAATTAATTTGTTGGCTTGGTTCATGAACCAATTGAACTAAACTTTATCTAAAGATTGAATTCATAAATAAATGAGTTGAACTTGAGTATATTTTGAATCATTTATTTCATAAATTGACTTGATATATAAATATATAATTTATATAATTAGTTTTTCATTTAATGCCAATTTTTTAAAATTTGAAAGGATCTTCAAAACTTAGTTTTAAGTTAATAATAATAAAATAAGTGAACACTTTAGAATTTCATGATAATCAATTTTTTATATATTATTTTTTACAAGGTGGAGTAATTTTTACTTATACACACTTTGGTTGTAATTATATTTCTTTGGAATCTTGATGGAAGAGCATGGGCTAAAGGCCCAACCACTAGAGCAATGGCCAGGAGGTTACTTGAAGATTTGACTGCTTCAGAGCTTAGTGGGCCCAATGGGCTTGGTGGGCCTAGGGTGCTTCTCACTTGGACTATGATTGAATGAACACCATGTTTGAATGTATTTTCTTAGCATAGGAATTTACTTTGTTGTTGGTCTTGTATTTTGACCATAGATTAGGGTTTAGGTGTATTGGGCTTAATTTTGGGCTTCTTGGGCTTTGGGCTTTTGATACCCAATATTGGGCTCATTCTCCTTCTTGTATTTTTTCCTATTCATTGTATTCACTAGACCATTGTATTTTGGTCATTAGATTAGGGTTTAAGGAGGATTAGTAGTTCATTTGAGTTAGGACAAATTAGGTTAAATTTAGGATGGATTTAAGTTGCATTTAGGTCACACTTTTGGCACCACCTTGGCTTCACAAGTGTGACACCGAAATGCAACCCTAAATACATACTAAATTCAACTTAATTTGCATTTAGCTACACATGACCGGTTATGCACATGTGACACAAGGTTTGAATTCAAATTTGAATTTGAATTCAAACCTTGGCGCCAACATGTGACCTATCATGTGGCGCCAAGTGGCTTCCCAAAATTCGGTGACCTATATGATCCCTCCTAAAACAATTTGTATTCACTTTGATTCATATTGAAATTTGAGAGCCATTGGCCGAGTTTCTACCTCAAAGTCTTCTAGCTTCTCACCTCAAAACCCTAGGAGAGTTCCATTCTTTCCTTCTCTTGGAAGTGAGTAGTCCATTGTTTCTTGAGCTTGGATACTTCCCTCCATAGCTTAGGAACCTCAAGTCCGAGAATCATTCTTCCTCAAGTGTACATCTTAGTGGAATCCAATCTCTTTGAAGAAGATCCTAGCATTGGCGAATTCAAGGAGGAGAGTAACATCCACTTCTCCTAGTCTTCTCCATCAAATCTGATAAACTATGACTAAGGCCAAGGAATCCAAGAGGTAATATATTGAAGGAACCAAGAGAAACGGGATGATGGACCATGAGCCAAGGGCCTAATCACTAGAGCTGTGGCCACCTTGAAGACCAGTGGACACCTTGAAGACCAGTGGGCTTTCCAAGCCCAAGGTACTCTTCAATTTGAACCACTCTATCATGAAGAGAAGGCATAGTCCTAGTTGTAAATATCTTGTACATAGTTCTCTTGTATATGCTTATTTTTGCCTTTGTATTTGTGAGACACTTTAGTTTCTTTTATTAGTCATTGTATATTGATTCTAGGGTGAGTTACTTAGAGAGTTTGACTCTATTTAACCTCCTTTGTTGATACACTCATTTTCTATTTTTTTAGTAGGAAAAGAGGGGTGGCATTTAGCAATGTTTGAGGGTGTGACTAGTAACTGGGCCAGAATTGGGCCTAGGCAAAATGTTACATATTGGACTCATTTTGCTCCTAATTTTTCATAGATTTGATTTAGCTAGGTTTCATCATTATTGGATGAACCTAACTAAACCAAATCAAACATTTTTGAAATAATCAAAGTGAGCAAAACTTGAGTTAGCCGCCCACCTTGCCTAGCTTCCTCTTTGGCCGAATTACTTCTCTAACCTTTCTTTGACCGAATTGCTTCTCTAACCTTCAAGGAGATGAGAAGCTTGTGCTACAAGCTTCTCCTTAGCTTGCTTCCCAAGCAAGCTAAGTGAGAAGCTTGCTCCACAAGTTTCTAAACTCACCTAGAAGGTCAACTAACCTTACCATGGTTCCTAGTGAACCATGGTTAAGGTTAGCTTGCTCCTTAAGCTACCTATCTCTATATATTTGTAATTTCTACTCTTGTAATCACTTTTGACATTTATGAGACTTAGGATTCAGAAATTCTCTCTCATTTCAAGAGTCCAATTTCATGGAGAATCTCCTTCTCCTAGAAGCTTCACAAAGGAACTTTTCCTTTGTGCTTGGTTCCTCAAGTTTCTCTCCTTCAAGAGAAACCGAACCACCTTGGGAAGCATCTTCAAGCTTTTGAAGCTTGAACTCATCCAAATCACCCATTAACGTGAAGAACCTCAAGAGAAAAAGGGACTTAGCATGGTTCAGCTTGAAGAAACATCAATCTTCTCCAAGTAGTTCCATCAGTTTTGGTATCTAGAGCCTTGGTGCTCTTGAGGTTATGTGTTCTAATTTTTCTTCCTTGAATCCGTGTTGTTCCTTCCTTGTCTATGTCTAAATTTGTGTTTGCTGTATGGATCTAATTCTATTACATATTTTGATAGATCCTTATGTCACATATGAAGTAATTGATTCATGATTTTTGCTTGTTCCTAATTCCTTGTATCAATGTGTTGTGTGCGCCTAGGTTTCCATTGAACTTGTGCGTTTTGTATTTTTGCTTGAGTCTCTCCATTCCTTAACATGTGTCCATGATTGGACAACATTCATATAGCATTAGTTTTGTTTTTGAATCACTTGTTTTGTCTAAGAAGTCATGTGTAGTCCTTACATGTTGTTGAACTCCTAGATTAGCTTGTTTGACCTATTTTTTTTGTTGTTTTTAGAGTCTACATTGATTCGATTTTTGCTTATTAAATCTGAACCTTAATACATGTGCTTTTGCTTTACATGATTGAGTTCTTAATTTGCTATTAGTCCTAGCAAATTTCTTAGAGTTAGGTTTCCTTTATGTCTTGTTAAAAGTTTTGTCAAAAAAAAAAGTTAAACACTTTTCCTACTAGGTTTCTTTGTGTCTTGCTTTGTGGCTGAAACTTTTAACACTTTTTAAGTCCTCAAAACAGAGACAAAACAGAGGTATTAGTGTGTTAAAATAATTAGAAAATCAAAAGAAAAAGTGCTTAAAAATTGGACCTAAAAATAGTACAAAATTGTGAAGCACTAGTTGAACACCTCTTGTTTTGTGTGGAATTTTGGCAGCAGTATTTTATGGTTAAATCCGAGATTCTTGCATGATAAAAAGGAATTAAACTCCTGTGTCAAAAAGAAAAAGAAAGAACAAAAGAAGTTACAAAAGAAAACAAAAAGAAAAGAACACAAGAAAAAGCCAAGGAGTAGAAATTTTTGATTAGAATTGCTCTCGGATTTGTAATATGTTTGCCTTCTAAATTTTTCTGTCCAGCCACTTATACTATTGCTTTGAGTCTTATTTTGTTTTGTATTCTTAGATTTTATTTTTTAATCTACTCTAGTGCCATTGTTAGGTTTTTCCTTTGTGTGCTAGCCTTTCATTTGTGCCTTAATTTTTGCTTGTCAATTTTTTGGAACTCTTTCTAGTCTTGTCTCTTTAATTCTACCATTTGGTGTAGCCTTTCTAAATTGTGCTTTTTCAGTTTTTCCTATATAACTCCAGCAACTTAAGGTGTGTTGAGTGCCTCTTTGAAGGTGTGGAAAGCCAGGTACAAGGTTAGCATCTTGAAGTGTTTGTGGAAGCCTAGGAGATTGCTATTCTCTTTGGTGG